CCTCACACCCTATTCTCCACCACATACTCTCCTACCTCACTTCACCCTGACACAAAGGCTCATCTTGCAAGGCTTTTACCTAATAAACTTGTTGAATAAATGTGTGCATACTTCCACGTCAGGTCAGCAGTCACCTTGAGAAATCCTTAGCTGGTTTTCTAGTTGCTTGCAGAAATGCCCTACAGATCACTGTGCCACTATCTTAAAAGTAGCTGTTTATGAATCTTTCTTTCCCACCAGACTGTAGCTGCCCGAGGATAGAAACTGAGCCCTGTTCTCTTTGGGAAATAGACTTTTTCCTTCTGTGTGCCTCTTGGGAGGGTGTCATATTCTGAGTGATACAGGACATGTTAAGCAAACTACTGGAGTATAGATGCTAGAGCTTTTCTTCCTTCTTCCCTCTCCCTTCCCTCTCTCCACCTCACTGTGGGTGCTAGGAAGAGGAACCCAAACTGGGTCCAGGGTTTCTCTCCACCTTTCCTCGGTTTTCCTGCTTATGCTCCCTTTTGTTATCCTAGCAAAGAACTCCTATGCTTATTTTTTCCCCTTATGTCATCTCTCAAAGGCAGAGTAGGAAGAATTTGATTGCCTCTTGACATAGAATCCAGATAATTAGGGACAGTTACAATCCCTGGAGGTGTCAGTAAGCAGAAATACCAGCACCTAACCCGGACTCCCTGAAAAGCAGGCATTTCTTGCTGGATCTGGCTCTTTTAATCAGAACTGGCCCAGTGATTCTTTCTACGTAAATAAAAATAAAACCAAGCAAAATGAAACACAACAAAAACAAGTTGAACTTCCCCATTTTTAAAAAAGATTTTATTTATTTATTTATTTGGCAGACAGAGATCACAAGTAGGCAGAGAGGCAGGCAGAGAGAGAGGAAGGGAAGCAGGCTCCCTGGTGAGCAGAGAGCCCGATGTGGGGCTCCATCCCGGACCCTGGGATCATGACCTGAGCCGAAGGCAGAGGCTTTAACCCACTGAGCCACCCAGGCGCCCCATGAATTTCCCTATCTTGATGGGTTTAAATTTTGGTTACCTACATGTGCTTTTCAGTGCTTTACGGGGGTTTTGAGTGAATAATAAATGAAGCTAATGTTGCTGTGGAGACACAAATTTTGAATAAGGATTTAATGAGATGGTAATCAGACCTCGCTGCTGCTAACAATGACACAGATTACCACCTTTCACTTATTACTTAATTGATTTAATTTAATTTAATTAATTTAATTTAATTTAATTTAATTGATTATTGATTATTTAATGAGATCTTATCATTCACACAGAAGTATATAAAGAAACATAACAGATTGTTCTTGCTCAAAGAGGACCCAGAAACTGGAAGTCTAGAGGAAATAAATACACATAAAAGCCTGAAGTATATGAAGCACGAGGTGTTCCACATGTAGAACCTGACCAAATGGCAAATGAGTGATACAGATAGTAATCATTTGAGACCTAAGAAGGGAGAGACGCTCTAGGCCATGAACTTTAGTTAGCAAAGTATGGAAAGAGGAACACTCACACAGTATTTTGCTGGGATGTTAAATAGTCTGGCTGATTGGGAAGATTGGGTTTGAGGAGATGAGACTGGAAAAACCTGTGGAGGCCTGGTAATTGAGGATAAGAAATGAATTTTCAATTGTTAAGTCACTGGTTCTCAAACTTGACTGCAAATTAGAATCTCCTGAGAAACTAAAAATACTGATGTCTGGGTTCTATACAGAGATTCTGCTTAAATTGACCTGGGAATCAAGGGTTTTTAAATTGCAGCTGATTCTAATATGCTGTCACCTTGAGAAATCTGTTACAAGACTGTGATTTTCAACCCTCACTAAATATTAGAATCAAAGGGGGAAATCTTTATGACAATACTAAAGATGACCCACAGAATGGGAAAAAATATTTGGAAATCTGGTAAGATTTATATATGATAAGGAATTTGCATCAAAAATATGTAAAGATCTCTGATAATTCAACAATAAAAAGCAGTCTGGTTAAGTGGGCAAATGATCTGAATAAAAACATTTTTCTAAAAATGATAGACAAATAGAGCACCTGGGTGGCTCGTTTGGTTAAGTGTCTGCCTTCGGCTCAGGTCATGATCCCAGGGTCCGGGGATCGAGCCGGGGATTGGGCTCCCGGCTCAGCAGAGAGCCTGCTTCTCTCTGTCCCTCTGCTCCTCCCACTGCTTGTGTGCTCTCTCTCACTCTATTTCTCTCTGTCAAATAAATAAAGTCTTTAAAAAAGAATGAGAGACAAATGCTTAAAAAGCGCATAAAAAATGCTCCACATTATCAGTCATTTGAGAAATGCATATCAAACCACAATAAGATATTGTTTCATATCCACCAGAATGGCTATGGTAAAGAAAATGAACAATACCAAGTGTTGGGAAGGAGGTGGAGAAATCAGAATCCTCAGACACTTTTGGTAAAATGTAAAATAGTGGGTGCCTGGGTGGCTCAGTGGGTTAAGCCTCTGCCTTCGGCTCAGGTCATGTTCTCAGGGTCCTGGGATCAAGTCCCGCATCGGGCTCTCTGCTTGCCAGGGAGCCGGCTTCCTCCTCTCTCTCTCTGCCTGCCTCTCTGCTTCCTTGTGATCTCTCTCTGTCAAATAAATAAATACAATCTTAAAAAAAAAATGTAAAATAGTGCAGTTGCTTTGGAAAAGTTTGTCAGCTCCTCAAAAAGCTAAACAGAATTACTATATAATCAAGCAGTTCCACTCCTGTATACACCCAAGAGACCTGAAAGCATATGTCCATACAAAAATGTATATACATCAAAAAAAATGTATATACATCAATGTTCATAGCAGCATTATTCATAATAGCAAAAAAGTGAAAGCAAATGATGAATGGAAAAACAAAACTTGGTATATATATATATATATATATATATATATATATATATACAAGAGGATATTATTTGGTCATGAAAATAAATGAAGTCCTGATACATTTTGCAATAGAGATGAACCTTGCAAACATGATGCTAAGTGAAAGAAGCCAGACAAAAAAGGCCATATAGTGTATGAGCCCATTTATATGAAATGCCCAGAATAAGCAAATCCGTAGAGACAGAAAATAGTTCAGTGGTTGTCAGAGGCTAGAGGGAAGGAGGAATGAGGAGTGGTTGTTGACGGGTATGGGGATTTCTGTTTGGGGGCAATAAAAATACAATATTCTGGAATCAGATAGTGGCCATCCATTTGCAATTTGTGAATATAATAAAAAAAACAACTGCCAGAGGGAAGGGAGGTGGGGGGATGGGCAAAATGGGTGAAAGGGAGTAGAAGATATGACTTCCACTTGTGGAATGAGTAAGACTTGGGAATGAACGGTAGGGCATAGGGAACACAGTCAATGGTATTGTAAATACTGATGTGTGGTGATAGATGGTAGCTATGCAGTGGTGAGTGAAGCGTAACTATAGAGCTGTTGATTCTCTGTGTGGTATCCCTGAAACCAATGTGACATTGTGTGTCAACTATACTCGAATAAAACAAAATAAAACCCAACCACTGAATTGTATATTTTAAAAAGGTGAACTTTAAAAAAAGAGAGAGGCTTTATGGTACATGAATTATATCTCAGGAAGTTGTGTGAAAAAAATGAGAAGAAACAATACAAATCCCTTCTTGTGTCCAGCATAGACTAATTAAATCAGAATTTTTGGAAATGGGAACTGGATATAAGGGTTTTTTTTTTTTTTGAAGTTTTTGATGTACAGCCAGAATTGAGAACAATGCAGGTGATGGAAAGCTGCTAGTAATTTAGTTATATGTATCTTCCTTTCTCCTAAAGCAAAAACAAAACACCTGAGCTCTTGAATGCAAATCCAGGGCAAATTGTAGGTTTTATTTTAATAGATTTTTATTTTATTTGGGTCTTCAGTATGGGTGCGTGGGGTGTGGCTTCAAAAAACCTTTTTTTTAAAAGAATGCAAATATGTAGACAATTATTAGCATGACCCAAAATAACAGCAATTTTTTTGGAATTAAATTTTGAATCAGAGACGCATTCATTATTTTTGAGAAATTCATTGTTAAGAGTGACGGAAAATTTAGAGAAATTTGCAAAGTTGACTCTTAGTTGTTAAGAATGGTGGTTCTAAATGGTCTGTTTTTCAGGTGGTTGTAGTTGGGTTTTTAGTCGCAGCTTTGCTCGCCATCTATTCAGCGATTTTAGAGAGGCAATGGGGATACAGTGGGAGACAAGATGGAATACATGTGTTCTCTTCCTCATGTAGGTTTATAATACCTAGCTTCAGTTTCTTTGTTTTAAAAGTGAAAAGATTGAACTGGATGCTCTCCAGATTCTTTGATCATTTACTGGAATAGCATTGAGGCAGAAAAATGGAGTAGAGGGGGAGCTCTTGTACACCCCTTCCATCTCCTGTGATTTAAGAGAACAAATATGGGAAGTTCTTGAGAAGGCTCCTCTCAGAATTTGCTACGGAAGGTAAGTTAAGCTTTTTGGGTTGTGTCTTCTCTTACTTTTTATCCTACTCTTGGAATGGCCAATAAACAAAGCCCAAACATTTCAAAACATTTTAGTTCACAAAAGCCTGTATCACAACTTAAAGCCAAATCTATTTGGGTATCCATGTCAGGTGTTCCAAAGCCATTTCCAAGGATCCCACTCAATCAGGAAGATAAACAATTAAGCATGATTAACATCTTTGGAATCCTAGCACAGATTCAAAAATTCCGAATGCGTAGCTGTGGTGCTCAGTGCCAACAGAAGGCCACATTCTGCCCTCCAAGTGAAAACACACTGCATTGTCCCAGTCAAAGGAGGATGCAGATAATATCAAAATGCAAACTTTTAAACTCTCACTATAATTTTCTTCCAAAGCACTCCTGCAGCTTCATCTGCCAGGAGAAAGCCTTTGCTGGAGATCCGTTTATTTTGTTAATTATTATGTCTTGATTTCAGGGGGGAGGAAAAGTCCTCATGCTCTCATTCTAAGCAAATGATTTTTCCTTCTTCAGAAAACAAGATTTTGGTGAAGCAGTTGCCCATGCTTGTGGTGTACAACAATGAGGTCAACCTGAGCTGCAAGTATACCCACAACCTCTTCTCAAAGGAGTTCCGGGCATCCCTTTATAAGGGAGTAGACAGTGCCGTGGAAGTCTGTGTTGTGAATGGAAATTACTCCCATCAGCCTCAGTTCTACTCAAGCACAGGATTCGACTGTGATGGGAAATTGGGCAATGAAACAGTGACATTCTACCTTCGGAAGTTGTTTGTTAACCAAACAGATATTTACTTCTGCAAAATCGAGGTCATGTATCCACCTCCTTACATAGACAATGAGAAGAGCAATGGGACCATTATCCATGTGAAAGGTAACACATAACTCTACCAGGGCACCGCTCTAGAGTAAGAGTTTTCAGTGGCAGTCTTGAAAACTAGGTCATGATCAATGGTGGGGTTGGATAAGTCCCAGAGAGGAAGTCTACACATTATAAACTGGTGATATTTTGCATATTTTGATCCATTTCCCATTCTTCTATAAAGTTCAGAAGGAAGGGAATGTACTCAAGTGCCACTCCCATGTTTAACCCATTCTGTTCTGTTTTTCAGAGAAACATCTTTGTCCAGTGCAGCCGTCTCCTCAATCTTCTAAGCCATTTTGGGCACTGGTGGTGGTGTGTGGAGTCCTAGTTTTCTATAGCTTGCTAGTAACAGTGGCTCTTTGTGCTTGCTGGGTAAGAGAAGCAACACTATTTTGTGTAACTTTTCCATGCATGTGTAATCTGAACACATTCAAGAAATTTGCCCATGTGGTTCATTTTCTGTTTAATGCATGATTGTTAGTATTATTGCTGTTATTTCCCTTCTCTTTTAACCTGTTTAGCTTTATTTGAGATGAAAATCTAATGTGAATTCTATTTTCCAAAAGGTAGTAATTAGGTGGCCATGCAAAAAAAGAAGCTGAGAAGTGGGGATCGAGTCTTAGGGCCAGTTACTTTTCTTTTCCCCCTTTTGCAATATCATGATGATATATAAAATAGTTTTGATATACATATATGTATAAAAATCTAACAACTTGGGAATCAAGGCACTGAAACCAATGCACAATTTTTGTTCAGGGTCCAAAATTGTGAGAAATTTGGTTACTGAAATTATGCATTCAAACCTAGCAAAGAAACTAGGTCTGTTTATCTGAGTCATATTTTTATCTCCTGAAGCAGTTGAATTTCGTGAGGCCAAGTATGGTTGCTGTCATTATGAAACCATAATGGGAGTTAGACTTTTCTGAGTTCTCAGCACTGAATTAGAGTTTACCAATTTGTGCAAATGTTCATGTAATGAGCTTGGTGTATTTTTCTTTACCTCCTTCAAAGTTGAAGGTTTGAACACATCTTGATGACCATATCCGACGTTAAGATGGGACTCCCTTACCGACGGTCTTTCCCTTACTCAGAAACCTCCCTTTCTCATGTACACGGTGTGGGACAGAATGTCTCCTGCATTGGTTTCACATTGTCTTTGAGTTTTTTCCTATGTTAGATGCATGTGTGAGTCATTTCTTCAATAAGCAATGTATGCTCCTCAAGGATAAAGGACCATTTCTCTTGATATATACCATCCATGTGGTATTAAGCATTTTTAATGCTTAATGGGTGCTTATCAGATTTATGCATTAATAACCTTCCTAAAGGCCAAACTAAGGACTTAAATGAACATATCTTTAAGGGATATTCTACACATTTAACTAAACCATAGATGGGTCGGTGATTTCTGCAACCCACACCTGGTGAAACCATTCTGTTTACTAAAGACTTGGTGCTGGGGGGGGCAGGGCAGGGGATGGACAGAGGTGAGGGGGGCAGCCTTGGGTTCACAATCATGTAAATGACGGATCTAGCCTGAGATTTTTTTTTTTTAAAGATTTATTTATTTGAGAGAGAAAGAGCATGAGTATGAGAGTGGAGGGGGAGGGGCAGAGGGCAAGAATCCTCAAGCAGACTCCCTGCTGAGCACCGGATATGGGGCTTGGTCTCATGACCCATGAGATTATGACCTGAATTGAAACCAAGAGTCCAATGCTTAACTGACTGAGACACCCAGGTGTCCTACCTGAGATCCCTTTATTTTTAATTATTTATTTATTAAATTATTATTATTATTTTTATCATGTTAGGCACCATACTGTATGTCACTAGTTTTTGATGTAGTGTTCCAAGATTCATTGTTTACATATAACACCCAGTGCTCCATGCAATATATGTACTCTTTAACACCCATCACCGGGCCAACTCACCCCCCCCAATCTCCCTACCCTCTAAAATCCTCAGTTTGTTCCGCAGAGTCCATAATCTCTCATGGTTTGTCTTCTCCTCTGATTTTCCCCCTTCTTTTTTCCCTTTTTTCTCCTAATGTCATCCATGCTATTCCTTTTAAACTCTGTTGGCCTATTTCCAAAGTCTACCTCTTGATCGATCCCCACATGCTGCTAACATTTTGGAAACTCTAGGGGCAGAGATGGACATTGGTTAGGCTGCCTGTTTGCCTAATCTGTCTCTTCTGCAGAATAGGGAAAAAAGTGGCTGTTGATTCCTAGAAATCCCTTATACTAGATAGCAACTTGATATTTACCCGTCTTGCTTCCTCCAAGTTGCCCCACCCTGAGAGCCTTTTATGTAGAGAAATATTGCTTAAATTCTTTCTCTGATGTCAGTTCCGTCCCTCATCTTTCTTGATCTTGGGGTCTTCATACACGTTACGTTCCCACTTTGAACCTCTGTGGTGTTTGCCAAATGATTTTAGAGGTTAGAATCTTAGTCCTTATTTTTATCTCTTGGGAATTTCAACTTCTTAATCTAAAATATAGGTGAAGTGGCTTTATGGGTACACTTCCAGGACAGGTGCTTCCTTTGTTATTGCTGACCTAGGTCAGTGTCATACCAGCTTCCCAGGAAATAGTTTTGAGACTTACTTTAACTTTCGGTGGCCGGAAGGGTACTGCTCATCATTTAAAACTTATTGTAAACACACATTAGAATATCAGTTACTATAATCAGGCACTAATTGGCTCAGTGACTGGCATCACCCAGAGGAACAAAAGCCTTCTCATTTTCAGTGAATTTAAACAGTTCACTTTCAACTTGGAAGCATCGTAGATGCTACAGGTTTTTCTTTGGTAGCACTACTTGCTTTGTCTTGATAAAACTTAACTTTGGTCTTATTCTGTTTCATAAATTCCCTGTGAATTAGGAAGAGCCAGTGCTTGGCATGATCTTATCTTCTGCGGCCTCTTATGGTCGATTAGGTTGTCCAATAAGAACCCTTTATTTGCCTAGGTCTTTGTACTATCTGACCCAAAGGGTGTGAAATAAATATATATCTTTATTTTATAACATCACACCCCCCACCCCAGCTCATCTTTTCTTGCTGCTGTTACTGTTTAAGCAACCAGCACCTTGTTGATCCCAAGAGGTTAGCCATTTCCTGGGTCCTATTCTGGGAGCCTATTTTTGGCTGATCTGCTCTATGCCTTGGTGTGAGGGCCTGTTCTCTGGAACTTCCTGAGGGCTTGTGATGTGTTACCGTAGGCAGTTGTAGGCTGAGCGGGTTTCTGGGAGCAGCTGCACATTCTATCCCAGCTCTTGACTTGTTGCTTACATTTGAATAAATAAAGTGCTCCCCTCTACCAGCCTGCTGGGGAACAGCACCTGCTACTGTCACTCATTCCTCCACTCACCCAGCGGAGCTGGAAAACCTATTCTCTTTCTTAGTCTAAAGGAACCTTTTTGAAAACACGGTCTTCTCCATGATCAGTCACAATGTGGGGAATGTGGACAGTGTGTGGATAGGTGGTATCTTCCTTTAAACCAAGCATGCCCTTGAAGACTGGGTCTTTAAGTGAATTGTGTCTTGCTGCTGCTTCCAGGAAACAGGTGGGTAAGGGTGGGGGTGGTGCGAGGGCAAGGGAGGAATGGTCCTGAAATCACACATATTTAGTGGACTTAATAGAACAGTGAAGACCTTATCGGGGCTTCTCTACCAACTATAGTTGTATTTGAGTGTTTGGAGGCAAAGACTGCCATTTCGTGTTCTGGCAAGGGAAGTCAGAGCAGGAGTAAGTACTAAAGTGCTTTCTAGGGTATCAGCAGCAGCCTTCCACATGTATTCAGAGGCAGAGGTTTCCTTGCCCTTATCCTGCCCTGCCATAACCCTGTGCTCGAGAGAATGCTGGTCCTTATTTATGGAAAGGATGTAAAGCCACGATGTTTGAAGAGCAACTTCCCTCACTCACTTTGTTTCCATGGCTACCTCTCTTAAATGAATCTCCCAATTATGTCTGTTGAACACTATCCTCTTCTTCGTTTCAGCTGGATAACCCGTCCATCATTTATATCCTAAATGACCAAAGCTGAATTTGTAACCTTCTCTTACAAATCTACTTCTCCTTTTGTCCTGCCTTATATCCGTGGATGGAACAGCCTCCTTCCAGTCTACCAGGCTCAAATCATTGGTCATTTCTGAGGATGAGCAAAAAGGAAAGGTCAAGCAATCCGACAATATTCATTCTAAATTTGGTCCCATGTTTTGTATCATTTGCTTCCTTTTCATCCCATTCTTTTTCATGATCAGATTCCTTAGATCGGGATTTCTCAGTCTTGGCACTATTGACATTTTGGGCTGGGTAATGCTTTTGTGTCAGGGGCTTCCCTGTGCAACATAGTGTGTTTAGTCGCATTTCTGGCCTCTACCCACTAGATGCCATAGCATTCTTCCCAGTGGTGACAACCCCAAATACCTTCAGACATCGTCAAATGTCCCCTGGGACAAGGGATAGGGAGCTGGCAGTGTCAAGGATGAGGCTTAGGAAGTCTTGGGCAATTGTATATGCAGAAGTGTCACTCACTGAGATAGAAACACTGGGGGAAGACCAGACTTTAGGAGAGGATCTCAGTTTCCTTTTGGACAGGTTTTGTTTGAAATGTCTTTGAGGTCCCATCCAGAGATATAAATTTGGGTGAATAGGTGGTAATTGAAGTTGCAAATGGGGATGAGTTTGCCTAGAGAGAGAGGATGGAGTAAGTAAAGGAGAAGGTCTGTGAGGAGCTTTAACACTGAATGGCTACTTAGAGAAGGATGAGCTTGCAAAGGAGGCAAGGAAAGAGTAGCCAGACAAGTAGGATGAAAACCATCATGGTGCCATCTTAGGGAAGGCAAAGTGGAAGAGCATCTCAAAAAGGCAAGAGTAATCATTAGTAGAGAATGCTACCAAGAAGTCAAAAGATGAGGCCTGGGAAAGATGAGGACATGTTAGTTGGATTTAGTAATGTGGAAGCTGGGGTTTTTCCAGCTTGCTCATGCTCATTTGACAAGCCTCAGGGAGGAGCATGGAAATAAGACCAGGGCAGAAGAAGTCACTTGCTCACTTACTTGTTCAAGTGTTCATGTCATTCACGTTCCATGTATCTACGCATCAGGCCTAGGTGCCTAGAAATAGACATTTTTTTTTTTTCATAATAGGGAATTCTGAATTCGGAAACCCAGGTAGCTATTTTTAGAATTTTTATGGGTCTTTTAACAAACATGTAAATTTTGCCATCACATTGGTTCAGAAAAGATGCTCCTAACCTCCAGTAAAAACTATACTAAGATTCACAGTGCATGTAACTCTTGCTCTGGGTTTAGTATTGCCCCTACTTCCCTCACCCCTATTAGAAATTCATCGAGAAGGAGGTGAATCTGAGGAACAGAGATAAGTGACACCATTATCTTTATGGAAATGTACATACACACAAGAGAATAGGAATGTAACTTGTTGTCTTAAACTATACCTCTCCACTACTTTGGGCTCCAGGGCTATGAATTTATGATTATTTCAGACTCTAGAGGGGTGAAGGTTCTCTGGGATTAATGATGCAAAAATGGCTTGTTAAGCAAATGACAGATGTAAGAATATTGCAGTGGGGATGCTTAACCTTTTCAAAGGAGGAAGGGCCTTCAAGAGTATTTACACATCAACGGTGGATATATTAATTAGATGTGCTTTTGGAATTTAGATCAAATGACTGCATTGAGGGTAACATGGGTACATTCAACCCAAATACCTTCTTTGATTCAGATTTTGCATGTTAATTTAGAAGAGTCCAAAGAAGTTAGGTTTGATTAGGCACTATCCTGGTCCAAGACACTCAATGAATACAGGTGTGTTCAGCTTCATTTGTCAGTCCATGTTCTGAGTAGTTGCCCACCCCTGCCCAGTCTTAGAGCTACTCCTACTACATCTCGTTCTGTTCCCTGGCCCCCTTCACAGAGACACTTCTCTTTTCTGCAGATGAAGAGTAGGAGGAACAGGATCCTTCAGAGTGACTACATGAACATGACTCCCCGGAGACCGGGGCCCACCCGAAGGCACTACCAACCTTATGCACCAGCGCGCGACTTTGCTGCATACCGTTCCTGACATGGACGCCTATCCAGATGCAAGCCGGCTGGCAGCTCTTCACCTGCCCAACACAACTGCTCTGGATAGGAAAAACCTGCCTTGTCTTCAGCCGGCCACGGGCTCCTTCTACAGGCTCTTCTTAAGCCACTGATGCCAATTTTTCTTGAATGACTAGACCAAATAACATTATTTTTGAGACTCCGAAATGAAGTTAAAGAATATTATTGTGGCAGGCTCTATCTTGTAGTGCCATGACCCAAATGCCAACTTACCACGTATTTATTGACTTAAGAGGTTATAGTAGAAAAACAAACAAACAAAATCCATGGATTCTGTCAACCTTGAAATCTGCTTTCCATTTCACTCCTTTCTCACTCACCTGAACATTGTGGTCAAGTGAAATGCGAAATGGAAGGACGTTTTAGATGGAGAAGAAAGGATAGAAAAACATTCCTTTTGGTTAAATGGGGGTTTATAGTGGGGATAGTTTAGAGTGGGGGAGAGGGGACGGAGACTTACACATTTCAAAAACCATTAAAACACTCTCTCTCATTCCTGAAATGAACCACTTAGTTCCTATTAATACTGTTTTAGTTTAGAAAGGTATAGACATTATTTTTTTAATTTTTTAATTTTTTTTTATTAACATGTAATGTATTATTAGCCCCAGGGGTACAGGTCTGTGAATTGCCGGGTTTACATACTTCACAGCACTCATCATAGCACATACCCTCCCCAATGTCCATAACCCCACCACCCTCTCCCTACACCCCTCCCTCCAGCCCCCCTCAGTTTGTTTTGTGACATTAAGAGTCTCTTTTGGTTTGTATAGACATTATTTTTTTGATGAACTCTGGTCATATTTAGTCATCTTGACCAATGGAATTCATTTGAAGAAATTTGAGGCAAACAGTCTTGCTCTACTTTACTCCCTGTGATGGGAATGCAATGTAGTATTCAGAATATGATTTGAAAAGCATAAAATAGTCTTCCCCCTTACCGAGAAAGAATGTTTCAGGAAATGAAGCCACTTGATGTCAAAATCATTTGAATACTCTGAAGAAGGGTTACTTCTTCAGAAGATCATTCCTGTCAAATCATATAGGGGGCTTTTCTGTTCCCTATATTTCAGGTTTGCCTGTTTGGTCTTTTTGTCATCTGTGTGGAAATCTGAAGTGGGAGACTGAAAGGACATCCAGAGCAGTGATGGTACTCTGAAAAGGGGCTGTTGGTATTCATGAGGGCCTGGGGGATGAGTCCCAAGAAACTTCTTCTGGAGGAGGAGAATAGAAGGGAATCATGTGACTCTTGCCAATGTACTGAGGGGAGTGGCCAATATTTGATGGAAGATTTCCAGAAGACAGAGGAGATAAGGCGAGAGTTCCTTTACAGGGACTTTATATGATTTAGGGCTCAGAACTCCAGAACTCTGTGGGTTCAGCTGTGTGTTTACCCTGGAGTTCCACTGACATGGAAAACTATTTTGTGTATTTGGTGTATGTTTAAGACAGCATCAAAGTTCTCAAGATATCCTGCAAAGCCGGACCCTGTAAGACCTGATCTTGTCATGACAATGGATATTTTTCTGCCTCTGGTTGGGGTCAACTGGTGTGTGCCTGGGGACCTTAAAGAACAGCTTTACTGCTACCTTTACAATTTGTTTTGTGCTTTGATTTACTCAGATGTTAGAGGAGTCTAGGTTTTGGAAGCAGGTAAAATAGATCTGGTCCAAGTCCCCTTTCTAGTTGGCCTTAAGCAAGTCACTGACTTTCTAAGACTCTACTCTTCAACTATAAAGTGGAGGTAATGATCATAATTGTTTGTCCCTATACTATAATCACCATCAGGGCATGGCCCAAGTTTGTCTTTTTTTTTTTTTTCTGCTTGTCCCTGGCACTAGTGCCATATCTGACAAATAATGTTAGCTACTATTATTATTGTCATATAAATAATGTATAAAGATTAAACTGGGGGCACCTGGGTGGCTCAGTGGGTTAAGCATCTGCCTTCAACTCAGGTCATGATCTCAGGGTCCTGGAATTGAGTCCTGCATCAGGTTCCCTCCTCAACGGGGAGTGTGGTTCTCCCTCTGTGCTCTTTCTTTCTCTCTCTCTCTCAAGTTTAAAAAAAAAAAAAAAAGATATCCTGGGCCATGCCCCGAGAAGGGAGAGAATATTTTAACAGATTTAAACCCACTATCTGGGGATAAGGTGCTATAAAATCCAAGAGCCTCTTAACTTCTACCATTTTCCTGTTTTGGAATATTTTAGCTTGTTATGAAATGTGCAGTGTTCTGTCTCCCACTTTTATGTATAAAAAGAGGTCTTCTTTAATTTTTTTGTGATGTGGAGAGGAGAATCCTATGATTCCAGCAGAAAATATTGTACTTTGGTTGACTTTGAAATGGGCATCCATTCCATGAAAATAATTAATCCAGAGAAGGTCAAACTCACTAGAACTGGAGTTACAAAAAACTCTTGAATTTATACTGGCACACGTTCTGCATTGCTAGCCTCTTGGCACACAGAGTTCTTTAATCTAAGTTACTGAATTGGATTTGAAAATGATAGAGCTAGAGAATTATATAAAGAGCAATGGCAAAAAATACATTTAAAAAATGGAAAGATCTGATCTTTGGTTAAAAAAAAAATGGTTTTATTTTCTGATGGGTAAAATAGGTTTACCAAGGATGAATCACACTTTAGATTTCTCTTACTCACTCTGAACAGAACCAAAGTAGAAATGTTAATAGGGAAGTCCATTTTCACTATTAGTATGAGCCAAGAAATGGTTTAAAAACAGTGGTTGGAGCAATGCTTTTACAGTTTCCGATATGATAATTATGAAGAAAACGATGTCATTTGCTGCTATTATTGTAAGAGTCTGATAATTAGTAGTATTTCTATAATTTTTGATTGTGAGCTCACTTATTTTGGGCTGAGCAGGCCAAGTTAAAGAGACCAAGTTACATTATATTCTGTGTATTCAGTGGTAAAATTACTGAACTACCATGTGCCTGTTTTTAATTTGAGCTTTAGTATTTATCTTTCAGAGCAGGTATGTTTAATTTTTGGTCATGAATCTGGAGAAAACTTGTTACTTAAAAATAGTGTGAGATAAATCTTTTTTTTTTAAAATAAATCTCCAGTTCAACTTTTTAAAAATATACCAAACTTTCATATGTTAGTTTTATTTCAAGCAAGGTACGCTCCTGGTTTGTTTACTTGGCTTTAGTCACAATCTCTCATCAAACCAATGGTTTATATCTCTGGGATGTGTGCATTCTGTGTGATGTGAATGCTCTGTGAGAGAGATCAGACTTCATCCTTGATCCCATCGGTCCCTTGGGTTCACTAAGTGAACCACTAGTTCTCATAGCAAATTTAATGGGGATGTTGATGGTTAAATGGATGTTGGATCCCTTATTCCAGCTTTTTGCACTGCTGGATAAGAGCCACAGCCTACCCAGGGACTGATCCCAGTGTTAAATTCAAGTACATGCTGGAGGTTGGAGATGGTGGCAGTGATGGACCCAGAACCAGGGTCATCACTGCCAAGGACTGGTTATTGACCCAAGTTAAGGACCATGGCAATGACTTTCTCAAGTCCTGGACTGAGTGACTTCTTGAAATTTGAGGCTTAGGAAATCTCTGTTATAGATATATGCATACTTTCTGACATATTCCTCCTCAAACATCACAGGCATGTTCTCACCTCAGGGCTTTTGCACATGCTGTTTCCTATATCTGGAATGTCTGTCTCCAGATATCCACCTGGTTTTCTCCCTCATTTCCTTTAGGCCCTTGCTCAAATGTCACTATCCACCATAGTTAACAACCTCCCTACCCCACCCCACCGAACCCTATATGCTTTCCTAACTTGCCTTTTTTCCATAGCATCTCACCCTCTCTTACACTAGATTTTTTACTTATTTATTTGTTTATTGTTTATTTCCCCAAACTAGAGTGTAAGCTCCATGAGAGATGGAACTTTGTCTGCTTTGTTGATTGCCATATCCCCAATGTCTAGAATAGTACCTGGCATGAAATAAATATTTATTGAATGAATGACTTTAATATACCTTATGGATTAATGGTCAGTTTAAATGTACCAATCACATTCAGAGAAGGAGAAAGACAGTTCTGTTTTCTACTTTTCTATTAATAAGGACCCAAATCCATTTTGTCAGTGAAACAGGAGGTAATACATATATATATTTACTGCTGAAATTGGTGAAAGAAAACCTGATGGATGGAAGTTCATTCACATTTTAGAAATTTTTGTGCAGTGAGGAAAACTAATAATGTTAGAAAGAAACATCTTGAAAAGTCATGCTAAATAAGCCCAGTCAAGAGAAGGTTGATTCTCCACTGAAGTTTCCACATCTATTCTTAATGGACTCTTGACTATGTTTTAAATATTACTTTAGACTAAGACTTCTAAAAATGTTGCCTAGTTTAAATCCCATTTTACTATTGAATTGCTACTCATTTTTCTCCCTCTCTATTCCCCCCCCCCCCCCCAACAAATTCTATAAATGCCTTGCCTGGCTATGATTCAAAAAGAGCTCAAAGATGAGAATGCTGGGGACAGACAATTTCAGCTGCTTTACCTGTTATGCTCATTACTGAACACTCTAATTGCTTGCAATAATTTAAAAATAAAAGAACAACAATGAACAAAATTGGAGCACTTGGAGTAAGCTGAAAATTCAAATCAGACATGTTAATCACCATGCACATACAGACGCACAGACACAGAGCTTGTGGGTAGGGGAAAGTCCTTGAACAGGATACACAGAGCTGGTCTGAAATTTACATAGAAGCTCCTATTTATTTCATTGCAAACTGTGCTTTCAAAGTGGCCTGAAGTCAGATAGGTGTGCTGTGAGTTCTTCTCCAAAGTGACTCTTCTTTGTTGAAATGGAGCTCATTAAGTTAAATAAAGGTGAACTTGAAAAAAAATGAGCTTATATGTGTCATTCTACTCCAAAAAAGACTGAAATTAGCTAGTCACTCATGAATTCAACTGGACGAAACAATTCAGTCGGAAAGGGACAAGATTGGTCAAAATTAGCCTTAAATGAATCTGCTCAGTAAGCACTCCTTTGTTGGGCTAATAAAAATAGTGTAACCTAGTTCTGTGAAAAGTTCAAAGAGAAATAAAATGCAAACTTCATAACTTCACCTGACAGACCTCCCACCATGTTCTAGCTACTAACTATGTGAATGGTGTAATCGTTCACAGCCCCGAATTAACTTTTTTTCTCCAATCTAATAAAACATAGGGATTTCTTTTAAAGCAGCCCTCTTTCTCCTTTCTCATCTTACCTGT